AGTTCACCACCGCCTCTCCTCTTGTGTTACAGGTGTTCATGACTGCCACTCACTCCCACGGTTCTCCTTTTGCCCTGCTGGAGTCCCTGACCTGCCCCGTGCTGTTTGGCTCACCAGCGGGAGGCGCAGAGCACCGTGACGGTCACGACGCCTCTCACCACCCTGCTGCAGTGCCCCCCGCCCCTGCCGCCAAAAGCAGGGAGGAGCTCAACGAGGGCACGCGCAAGAGGAAAACCAAGAAAGCCGAGTAGAAGCGAGCTCGATGGCAAAATGAAGACAACACCTGCTTCCCTCCCAAGATAAGCTGGCGGTGACCCGCACGGAACATGGGTGAAGTTTAACTGAAAGATGCACAGTACCATTTCCTGTGGGGGTGCTTCCTGTGCAAACACCCCTACTGCTGCTGCTTACAGATGTCGTCATTAACAAGTATTGGATTGTAAATAGCTCAAAGGGAAAGAAATCGCACCCCACACTGTGGAGTGGCCTATCGTGAGTCTCTTGAATGCTTAAAATGCCTAGTGCCAATTTATTTTGGGAGATTTACATACATCTCTGTGTTCAGTGAGCCATTTTCAATAGCGCTGCCTTTGGAACATGGTAGCCTGGTTGTAATAGAGGTACCTCTGATCTCCGTTGTAAGGCCATGCACAGCAAGCCCCCAGCCACTGTACTGCCATTCTGTCACCCTTTTCATTGTTGCACAACCTTCCATTTATAATAACAGTCATTATTAAACAGTTGTTTGTAACAGTGTGCGATTTTTGTGATTTTTTTTTTCCTGCAGCTCAAGCTGTGCAACTTGTCATGATAATGACAATTTGCAAAAACTGCAGCTGACTGGACACGCAGCCAAATCCCACCAGAGTCAAATCCCGCCAGTGTACCCACAGACCCGCTCAAGACAGGCAGATTCGAGGCTGGGATTTTATATTCCCCAATCCAAGTCCCAGTTCTAATAGAGCCCATTTAGACAGTAAACGCATGAGGCACTTAAACGTCTTTAGTCCTGCTAGTAACTGGCCTTTGCTCACTGAATTGCTTCACTAGGCAGAAGATTAGGAATACAGTCATAACAGAGTAGCTGGGCAGGCCAGCACAGTGGTGCAGCGGGCAGCTTTGCTGTCTCTTAGCTCTGGGGCCCTGGGTTCAATTCCTGTGATGCTGTCTGTGTGGAGTCTGTATGTTCTTCCCATGTTTGTGTGGGCTTACTTCAGATGCTCCCGTATCCTCCTACAGCCCACAGAAGTAGGTTTTGTATTATTTAAATTTGTTTTTTAATTCAAACATTCAAGACTGAGTCTTTCTCTCCTCTGCTGAAGTTCAATGTAACATTAAACAGTTCAAGCTCATTAAATGCCAGATATATAAAATACAATATGTCCTGAAATACATGCATAAAATATTTCCCCACTCGAACCTCATACATACTATAATACTCATACAATATTATATGCCTATTTAATGGAGAACTAATGGAATAATAGGTCTTCGCCCCAAGGATGACCAATCTTGTTCGATATTTGGTTTCAGAACCAAAAAGAAACCGCGAGCAGACCGAGTCATCACTCGTGTGAGCAGCTGCCCCGTTGCTTGAAGGAACGCACAGAAATATTCTCCCTGACTCCACCAGAGGGCGCTCCACAATCGGTTTCCGAACAGCTTAGCTGTCGGGACTGCAAGAACAGAAGCCCATTGAACCATTTTTTTTAAAACCTCAGCGTCACTAGTCATGGTGGTTGAACATCAGTCATCTTCTAGCAATAAACACTCTGAGCCTGAAGCTGAAATTTAAGTTGCAACTTTTTGTGAAAAGCAGACATCTCCAAATCTTCAGCTTGCAATTTCGTACATCTGTTCGCCTGTGACATCACCTATATTGGAACTGTACACTTTCTTGCCGTTTACAAATGCAGTGGAAAATGCAATGGAGCCTGCCTCTTATCGACAGACCAGGTATACTCCTTGCATTCAATTGCAAATGAGTGTCTGCAGATTGAATCTGATGTCATATTCCATGTACAGTCTTACTCATGTACCTCAGTGTGACCTGCAGGTGATCTGCAGTTGCAGTTGGTCAGCTAACAGGGGTTGGGGAATGATCCTAGGGGATTCAGAGTAGCCAATTAAAACTAATCTGTAACCTTGGAGCAAACTGGAGCATCTGAAGACATAGCACACAGATAACATGCAAACTCCACCCAGTCTGGACGCAAACTCGAGACCCAAGAGCTGCAAGACAGCAGCACATGCAGCTACACCCGGACGCCACTGTTCATGTGAAAATCTAATGCCATAGTTTTACTATGGCTTTAAACTGGGGGAAAAAATAATTACATAAAAATTACCATAACAATCTGCAATCAATTGATTATTGCTTACCTCTTTAATAGCATATTTCACCCCAAAGGTTCCCAGATGCCCTTTATCCACCACTGTGCAGCCCCACCTGGCTAACGTGTGGCAGCTATTCTGCACCAGCAAGGCAACTGCACAGATCGGAGGGAGGAGTGAGAAACCACTTCACCAGTTGAATTCAGGGGGTTTTAGGAAGGCCGGTTTCTGGAAGACCAGGGTGGCATTTAGCCAGGAGTACTCCAGGGAGGTTATCACCACTGCTCTAACATTCCTAGGATAGGAATATGGTTTTCCTGGGTTGTCTCCCATCACAGCACTGACCAGGCCCAATCATGACAAACTTCTGAGAGGAGGCAGGGTCACCACCAGGTATAAACTCAGGTTCTGAGATTTAAGGAGGTATAATTGTGTATGTTAATACCAGCATTTTCACACTGTTCAGGAGAGATTTTAAATACCAAATATTTCTAATGTGATATCGTTAAAGCAATTCTTTGTACTGTGTATAAGGAACTTGTAGCTTGAAAAGTAAAAAAAGAAAATTCACTCCTACAGTAACTCACTTTACTTAGTTCAGTGACTGAACTAAAGCATGTGAAGATCTTTTAAATTGGGGGGAAAAAAAGGAGAAAACAGGTTCATTTTTTATTTTATTATTCATTTTTAAGTACCATACAAAACTTAAAAGAGTACCAGTCTGAAACAAACACATCATTTGAGTGAGCTGTACACTGTAGAAATGCTGCATCTGATACAGAACAAAAAAAATACAAATCAGGTAAGTACATAAGGATTGTGCACATATCCAACAAGTATCATACTGGATTCCAACAGTGCTCCCTCTAGAGTTTAATTGCACTTTATTGAAGATCTGGTCTTCACTACATTATTCTAAGGACTTGCACCAAACCTACTGTTCGAGAGGAAGAGACAGACGCTGACTGTAGCTGAATGCACCTTGCTTAGATTCTATCCCGGTCACTTGCGGACTCCCAGCATGCACAGCGTCACTTCCTAGTCAGCTTATGTCATGCCAGCAGACAGGAAGCCTGCATCCTCCACCACATCAGAGTTCTGCCCGGTCTAGAATTGAGAGGGGGTGATGTCACTTCAGTAAATCGCTCAGTGCGCTGAGCCCTTACACATGCGCACAGGACTGCCCCTCTCTAGGGTGGGTGAGCAAATCGGGACAGCTCTGTGTGATATCCTCCAGCTTGCGAATTACATTTAAAAGGAACTGCACTTCCTTTAATGAAGAGAGAGGCTGGGGTGTGAAGATCTTGACGTTCCACAGCGATCGCGTTCATGTGCAGATCTGTAAAGCTGCTAGCACTTGAGGAAGTACTGTAGATACCAGGCATGCACGCAGCTTCATGTAGAGTATTTCAGCTAAATCGCTAGTGTCCCTTGGCAACCTTTTCTAAGTGAAAACACTTTAGAGAACTGCTGTGTCTCAAGTAGGGCTGTGTAGAATTCTCATTTGCTTCAACGAGAAGATCGCATCAACCCTGGTTTACAAATTTGTTATTTGTAACTGCTGAATTACAAATATTTGCGGAAAGGAATGTGGGCTTCAAAATATTTTTAGCTATAATTATAATATATAATAAGAGGCAGAAATACATGTTTATGATGAACATAAACAGGTTGCTGCTACCCTTGAAGTTTTTTTTCCATCTGTATAAAAAAGAGGACCTGCACTAATTTGGTTAGGCTACTTTGCCTCCCCCAAGGGACGGCCCTGCTACCTAATGTTTTACTAATGTTGAACTAATGTTCAACGGGATTTTGCAGCAAAAGGAGAAGCCTCTATTCATCTCTAAAAATACAAGGTGATACACTAAAACTTAAAAAATGTGTAAACAAAATTACAAATGAATATTAGAAGCAATAGCATTTGTTGCATTTTATGTAGCAATTTGTTTTAAAGGTTTTAGATGCATTTCCTTTGGATGCAAAGTCACATTTTCTAGTTGACTTTGATAATGGCCTTATTTAAATCTAAATAAGAAGAAGCTCATAGCATACTTGGGTAGACACCGGTTTGATTTCAGCACTGCAAGCTTGGGATGAGAGCAAATGTGCACAAGACACAGTCAAGACTTTGAGGAACCAAAAACACTCTCTCAGGACTTTCCATTTAACTAGGAAAACCCAATTCAACTGTTTTTAAGAGAATCAAATTAAAGAAATATCTTTTAAGCCAGTACAGTCATAAACCTTGGTGTTCCTCAACAACACACCTCTTACACACAAGAAAGGGTTCATACTAAACATTAGTGCAAAATCCTCAATACACTAGAGCCCGTGTATCTTGGAATTTTTATTTACTAGATTCACTACAGTACTTCGTTTAATACAGCATTTCTGGCAGTCTGTGTGACGCAAAAAGAACATTATTAGAACATAGTGCATTTCATTTCTACTGTCCAAAAAGATATTTCTGTAGTTTCTAAAGCAGGGCTACTTAACCTGGTCCCACTCCAATCTGCTAAATCACACAATTTTGTTGCAACCAGCTCCTTAATTATTTCATACCCAACAGGATTCGATGCAGCGTTTAAGGAGCTGGTTGTGTCAAAGTATTTCACTGGAGCCGATAAGAAGAGATGCAAGTTAACTAGCCATGGCATAAAGCATACTGAAAAACTGATACAAAAGGTTTGGCTTTCAGAAGGTAATTCGGCATTACTAGGAAAATACATCTTGTTAATCGATAATCCCAGATCTCACATTTTTATAAAGATTGCACTTCAATTTAAAAAAAAAATCAAATCCTCTCGGGCTCGCTCTCGAGAACTTAGTTACTCAAATCAGCACCATATTTATAATTAATACTATAACAGCATTTAAATTGCAACTAAAACAGACACCATTACCCCACACCCTTTTGCAGGAGACTGTCCACAGAACATCATGTAACCATTGGCAAGGTAGGTCTGGAAAGTGTTTTTTATTCCAAAAGCAGTAGACTATATAACCTACTAGACTTCTGTAATCTTAAGGGAGCACTGTTTCACAAACATTAAACTAAAACCCAATGGTTTCAAACTTCAAGTTTAAAAAACAGAAGAAAAAAACAAAACTAGAGCCGAAGATTCTTCTCTACGTTATCTAATGACCGACAGATTCTTTTTTTTTCTCAAACACTTAAAATTCTATTTGGTTAATCAGAGATCGTAAACAAATGTATCTAAAGAATGGAAATGAAAAAGACAGTTCAAGCTAGCTTATTTTATAGAATCTGTCAGGTTATAAAGAACAAACATACAAATGAAAAAATTAAACAGCTTTTTTATAAAAGCCAATTTTATAAACAGACCCAGTCAGGCACCATTGAAACTTTGACGTGTCTTTTTTTCCAGATTCCACCCATATTTCACAGGCAAAAGCCTGTTTTCACCAGGTTTGCTTTCAAATGTCAGGAGTGCTTTCCTAATCTTGTCTTCCTTTCAAAATCGGTACCTTAACCATCTTCACAAAAGGTAAGGTGGATCACATAAAACAAGATAAAAGGCTCAAATTCTGAAGGGTTACAATCTCTTCCTCATTTTTTTTTTGCCAACAGAGCTTTTATCTAACTGATCTTAACTGGCATGACCAGTTTTTCCAGCTCATAAAGGGTAACTGGAGTGCACAAGATTCTTTTCAATAGAAATGTGTGGCCAAAAATAGATCTTTGCACAATATAAAACCTGCCTTTAGTGTCGATTAAATACGCACATCGTTTTTTTTAAATCTAAGTATCGCTCCAATTAAACTCAAATATAACACAATGCCCTTGTCATTAAACTCTCCAGTCATGATAGCGACAAGGGACGAATTTTCAGATGATGCAGCCAATATTTCTTCAGCTATGATCGCCCTGGGTAGATTATCAGGCTCAGACATGCCAAATAACTTTTTTTTGCTACCCCTACGCTGAAGGTTCTGAAACATGTAGGCATCACAATACCTCAGCGCCGCTTCTGGAATTTCAGGAATGACCTCACCTCAAGTTTCATGTGACCCAACGCAGCTGACAAAAGACTGAAAATGAAACGGTCACACGAGGAACATGAAGGAGACCTTTAGTTATTGTTCAGTTGATTTTGGGGTAGAGGTGCCTTTTAAAGAGCTGACCATTAAAAAAGAACCAATAGAGCTTTTTGGATTACAGCACTCCTTAAGTCACCACAAGTAACGGGCCTTTCCCAATAAAAAAAAAAAGTCCAGCCCCCGCCACTCCCCCCACTCACTGAACACGTGTCTTTGTAGTGCATTCAGCAGATTTACACACCCCACCCCAAAGACAGGCCCATCCCTGCTCAAAGTCAGGGGTGAAAACAATCCCCCTCAAATGACTGAAAGCTAGGCTGTGTGCATTTCCAACAGAAACCCAGAAGCACAGCTTCATAACTCAAAAGATTTTCTCTGATTTAGCTCAACAAAACTACATCCCCGACTCTCATGCTCCACGTTCCCTACAGTAATTAGTTAAAAACGAAAATAAAACCCCCCACATACTCTTGTCAAGCTGTTCCACACACTTGTAGAACGCCTGTGTGCCCGGGACCAGTCCCACTCTCACAAGATCATTCACGAGATCTGGACAGGAAATACTGTGGCGAAACAGCAGAAAGCTTTCATCTCGCAGTGTTTTTGTATCCCACGTCGGAATATCACCACAGAATGCACGATGGTTGTGTCGTACAAGCTGCAATAAAAGACCAAACTGGGTTTTCTCGGGAGGTGCGAGTTCCTAGCGTCCTGGAAACCAGTGAATGCACAAGAGACACAGTGGACTTTATTCTAGAAACGTGCAAAGTAGTGTGATCAAACCAGATTCTAGCTGCACCAGGAACCCACCTTGTTCACGTCAAGCTGCAAGATCAGGAGCCTGCATCCCTCATCTCGAAGAGACGCAAGCCTCTTCCATTCTAGTTTTCACATTTCTTAACAGCAAAAACATTTTTTTTTGCACAGCAGTCAACAGTGGAACCGACATCTACATGGGCTGAGAAGATTTTTCCTAGTCAGGACATAACGCACATTTTCTGAGTGGTAGTTCTAAAGCAGACGCAAACCATTCTACATTGAAAATACATTTGGCCATCTTCCCCCTCTCTCTCTCAGCATATATATACATGTTTGTGCGTTGGGAGGGGAAAAAATAAATGCTAGACCTGGGAAATAATAACTCAACAAAAAAAATAACAAAACTTGGCTGTCCTTAGCTGTTCCTTTTATATTTGACCCAGCTTTGTTTCTTAATTAAAACATTAAGAATTTCACAGTTTGTACCAATACTGGGGAAACAATGCCATTCTTGCATGTCAGAGTAGTTTTCAGCTCGTTAACCCTTTTCTGCTAGTGCTCCATTCTCAATTGCAGCCTGAAAGCAGGCCTATTTACAATGCTGCGCTCAACAGTCCCCAGGTTTTGCACATCGCTAGAAACAGAAAATTCTACTCATTACAAAACAAAACCCACAAACTATTACTTGCAAAGCATAACTGCTAATCTGAATTGTAGAACATTTCCAAGAGAAAACACCCCAAGATGATTTAACACTTCAGAACTCATCGGAGTGAGGAACCTCGCCAAGCTCACTGAAGACTACATGGAGAACAGGTGTGCCAAAAAAGCTATTACTGAAAGTAAATATCATTGTAAGGGAAAACTTTCATATCCAATTTGAATTACAGGTAAAGGGAAACACAGGTCTTTCTCTCTTTACAGTACACTAATGCCACTATAAATGTTTTGAATATATTTCCAACCCAAGACATCGTATCAAAACATACAAAAAAAAACAGTTACACTACTAGGCCCTAGACTTTGCAATCAAGTCTAATGTAATCTGTGCAAAATCTGTAAAATCCTTAAGTCCAGAAATGTGTTTTAACAATGGTTTCTTTGGCAAAAACAGTTTGTTACTACTTTAGTGAGCATTTTTTTTACATTTGAACAATTACTACAATAACCATTGCTGAAAGCAATCAAGCAATTTTTGTTATTTACCCGCCCCAAAAAAGCCACAAAGAAGTTCTGAGCTCTCCAGGTTCCAAATTCAAAATACATGTTTTGAAATCGCAACTCTAGATTTGACAAGACCTAGAAGAATGCGTTGCTTCTGCTGGGTCGTCTCTGCTTCCAAGACAGGATTGTAATTCTTTCCTACAGCCCAGGGGTAAGGATGTGGAGAAAATCCACCTGAGCTGCTCCTTGTCTGATATTTCTACCAATCGATAGAGATCATTCTTGCAGAAACTGAATAGAATTCACTCAACTGATGTCTTTGTATTCTTTGCAGTGTCCAGTGGTGGTTTTCTCTTTTTTAATGATTTAAAATTGCCAATTACATGTTGCCCAGTTGGGAGAAGACAACTATTGTATGTCTCAGCCTTGCAGTGACACAAGGAGGCCCAGTGCGAACTGCAGAAGAGGCACCTCCCTCGTGATGTTGCTTCGAGCCTGCAGGGGGCACTGTTCTGCAGGAAGCCGCAAGAGCCCTGGCAGACTAATCCCAACTCTACCCCAAGAGGCGTCCAGCCAAATGCGGACTGCCACTTGGGGAATCTGATTCATGACCCAAGCTTCAACTTTCTCCCTATTTCCTGCCTGGGCACGAAGTGAAACGGTCTCTCACGGAATTGAAAATCCTATTCATAGTGAAAAGTCTGCATTTTTATGCTTCTGAGCATTGTGGGGGAAAAAAAAAAACTGTGGCAAGACTCCTTTTCTTCTTGATGGAAAGTGCACTGTAGATACGCCTCAGTTACAGGTGGAGTAACGAGCAGTTTAAGTAGATGGATAAAAGCGATTTCTTCTGCTTCAGCCTCAACAAGGGTAGTATATAATTTAAGGACTGGCTCAAACAAAAGGGGATTTCCTCACTGTTCAGCTAAGCGAAGTGTCTTATTTAAAAAAAAAAGTTTTCCCTGTTCCTGGTTTTCCTGTACCTTTGCTGCGTTTAATGTTAAATTTAATTTAACCCCCCCCCAGTGTGATTCCATATAAACCAGTGCCAACCCGTGTGGAGTACAGGAACAAACACCCGAAACAATGAAACAAGTGCTAACATCGCTGGTTGAGGAAGAGGAAGATCTGAGAGGCTCGGCTGCTGGACTCACACGGGAGCACCCGTGTGGTGGGGAAAGACGCTGGGCCCTGCTGTGGACAGCGAGTTCAGGGTGGAACAGCTCATCGCCAGAAAGAGCTCAAACAACAGTTACCGAAGAGTTAACGAGCCACAGTAGAAGGCACTTCCAACCCCCAGTCGCTTGGTATTCATAAGCCTAAGCTTCTCACACTCAACAAACACACTGTTGTGGTTAATTCTCCAGTAACTTTTTTTTTTTCCCTGAAGGATCCCTTGAAAAAGCACCTGAAAGCCCACGTGATCACAAACCTTCGAAATTCAAGGTTTTTATTAGGAGCACCAGATCCTTGCTTCAGGTGGAAGAGGCCCTTTCTTCTCCCTGCCCCCCTGCATTGTGGCAGCATTTCAGCAAAAAGAAAAAATAAACCTGTCCAGACACCAGCTTCCTAAAACATCAACTGTCTTTGCAAAACGGCATCCAAATCTGCAATGACTGACAGGTGCCTGAGGATATCTGATTACAAAAAACCCTACTATTCTGCAAGGCCCCAAAACTACCCCACATTTAAAAACAGACTAGTTTCTAACTGCTCCTCCTTCTCCTCTCCTGCTGCATTTACACCTGTATTGCAAGACGAACGCTCCTGAAGTTTTATATTTCCTGTTACAGTGCCTGTAGTTCAGGGCCATGAGTTCATCTGAAAGGAGCTTGTTCCAACAGCCTGTACAAGAAGAAATTTGACCATGCAAACAAAGATACCTCCTCAAGCACTTCTATGGAGATGGGGGATCTAATGTTGTTTGTCTTGTAAATATATATCAATCTATATATATATCTCATATTTTAACAGTACAGGTATTACCAAGTGCTAAGATATTGTCTTGGTAAAAAAAAAAAGTTTCCATGCATATTTTTTATGTTGTATTTTTGTTTTTTTTTGCTAACACCAACGTGTTCAAGCTTATAATAAAGGATCAGTTCTTTTGCTACATGAAAGATGTCCTTCATTTGGTTAACGTGTCGTTATGCACCCTCCAGAGGATTCCTCAATGAAAAAAACAAAAATATTCGTGGGCTGATTCTATATACTGATCAGCCCTTAGATGCCAAATCACTTACATGTTGCATATTTCAGTAATCGCCTACAATATCTTTCTGATTTCTTTTAGAATTGCATTGCTACAGCTCTGTATATCAGCTTGTGTCCAAAAAAAAAATAGCGTCATACGTATGAGTTTGCAAAACAAGTTTAGCAAATGGAAAGTGTCTCTGGTCAGCACCGCATGGGAAGTCACGCAGTTGAAACTGCCCAGTGCCACTGCTGCTGCAGGATATAACACCAGCGTCTGTTCCTTGTTCACCGTCACAGGCTCTGTAGTGTTAAAAAAATAAGATATCTGGACCGCTAAATAAAAGTCAAGCCCTACTTTTCCCGAGACTGAGCAACAAAAGAGCCCAGGCTGCAGTCTTCCTTTGCCATCAGTGTCAGTCGACAGAACTGGGAGCCCAACACTTGCACATTGTTAAGATCCCCTTCCCAAAAATGGGGTCGAGCAGGAAAAAAAAAATTTTCCCCCCAAAAAGTGCCGCAGCAAGGCTCGTCCTGCCCACTGAAAAGACAGCATTTCTGGTTCCTTTCCTTTTCGAAGGAAAAAAAAAAGTTGAAAAAAGATTTGTGGAACCACTTTGAATCACAGAAATGAGAGATTATGCACAGCAGCCGATGGAAAAAGAAAATAAAAAACACTATTAAGCTGTATATTTCAAGGCTTCTGTTACCCCTAAAGGCATCACTAAGGGCAGGCTGGGTGCACTCTACTACTCTAAGCAGCAGATTTGAAAATGAAAGGGTTTCACATACCCTTTTGCAATCCACAGAACATAAAACACAGCGCCTTCTTTACTGGTGTGCTCCGGTAGCAAGGCCTAATTCACATCTTTCGATTGAAAGGGTTTTGTTATCTGAAAGACAAGGATCGGAGCTGTTCTGCTTCCTTGGGTGTTACTGTTGATGTTGAGGACCAGGAGTGCAAAGAATTTAAATCCAACCCCCCCCCTCCCTGTTCGGACCCAGAATTCACCATTTACTCGGGGAGGGGGGGTGTTTTCTGCAATGGACGTGCACGGTGTCGCTGCGGTTTTGTGGTGTCCATCTTTCCAGGCCTTCTCAGACGTGGGCGTGTGGCGCTGTTCACCTGGGCTGTGGGGAGAGAACGGGCCAGGCCAGAGTTACATTCAGGGAGTCGTTGTGCTGGACCAGAGAGGTGTGCTTGTAGTGAAGAACCAGCTCTTTCAGGGAACCGTAGAGGTTGTAGGGTTCAGCGAATCCATACCCCGTGACAGTCTTATAGATCACACAGTGCTTGATGTCCCCATCCACCCTAGAGATCAAAACAGGACACAAAGGAAAGACAGTAAGACATCCGCACAGAGCGTCTGCTCGGATCCAGAAAACACAATACTAGAGGTAAGAAACCGTGGCAGCAAGACCGGCGCTGTCTCCTGACCCGCCTGGGGACTACGGCTCTATCCTTCCTGGAGACCGGAAGCTCTTGCGAGACACAGTGTGGCAAATGCCATCATTAAAATGCTGCAGATACCGAGCGGGATATAGATGCGAGAAAAGAAAACAAAGGAAGCAGCAAATCCCAAACCTATAGGCTCGGTGGGTGAAGCACCTCATGTACAATATGCATTGAAGCCTCTCTGTTTTGGCCCATGACGCTCTCTGCCTCTCCACTGCGTGTCGATACTTCGCATTTACCACGCGGCTCTGAAATCATTCAGTCACCTGCCCAAGTTAGGCTAAAGGGGCCAAATCAGGGCGACTGGTAACAGGACCGGGACTTTTCCCACTGGTCGTTCTTTACCTGGGGCGCACACCGCCCTTGGGAGTGCGAGACGTGCCAGATTTGGCAGAAAGGAAAACCAATCTTGACAAGCGGTGCGATAACGTTATTTTGAGGCTGCAGTAAAGGTTAAGAACCACACTTCTAGGGGAATAAAATGTGCACAGGAGCGTTTCAATAAAAAGGAGCTCCATGATACGCATTCTGGAGTTGGACAGAGGGAATCGTACTGAAGATTCAAAGTCTGAATTCAGAACAGAGAGGAAAGAAGAGGTATCCGTAGTCACTTTTGCAGGAAGAAAGGTTCCTGCAATTGGTTGACTCACCCGCATACAGGAGTGCTTTCATGTTTACAAACATATTAGTGGTTGCACATTTGTACGGGCCCTAATCAGACTTTTTACTTTTTACTGAAAACATTCAAGTCGTTTCGACAGCGGGAGAACTGGACCCGCCCCCCGACAAGCCGGCTCCCTGAGACACTCCCTGAGACACTTACACCACGGAGCAGGCGTAGGAGCCCTTCTGCGACTGGCTGTCGCGGATCAGGAAGGTCCCGTCGCGCTTGCCCCGCAGCAGGTCCTCGGCCTGCACGCGCTTGACGTCGCCCACGTACCACATGCGCTCGTCGTGGTGGGGCAGGTCGTCCTCCTCGTCCATCAGGGAGTACAGGCTGGGAGCGGCGGGGAGACGGGCGTCAGACAGGGGTCAGGGGGGACGGCAGGCGCACGGGGCCCAAGAGCAGTGTCCACGCGGACAGGTGCCACCCCCCTGCAGTGCATTTAAAGAACTGACGATTTTCAGCCGCCAGTCAGACTTCAGAATCTGAAACTGCTTGGTATCATTTAAAGGGGAAGGGCAATGCTATTTTTAGATTTCGGGGTTAGAAATAATCGGCACGGGTGAGTGCATTTCAAGCCACAATGAAAGTAAAACGTACACAGTAACGTGTAAAACCTCCAATGCACGTTGCAAAATAGATGACATTTTCAGGTATGCGCAGCAACATATTCTGTGATTCAGAACAAGGCAACAAAACTTCCAGTGAGATGAAGCTCTCCAATTACAATGTAAACAGGCAGGCTTGTGAATACATCTCTTCTAATCCCATAGAAATACTGCTCTGGACTTTGAAATGGTTTTGTCAACAAATACTACTTATTTGTTAACTCTGCATGGAGATCATGTTGGAACGTTTCTGCAGTGAAATGTCTGCTGCACAACCTGTACTTATTCGCTCGTACATCACAGTACATTAGTCACTACAGTGACTAGTGAGCAGGAAGGGCTGCATCACGTCACAATTCTCGCCTACTGCAAGACCAGAGGTTTACAACAAAATGTCAACCACACATTACTTTCTCAAAAAGGATACTACCTTCGGAATTTGGAATTTGTAAAATTTTGTGTAACCGTCAATTAATTGATTTTATTACCAAGATTTAATAACCTGACTGAGAAATCGGGACTGCAGTTTCCCCTTTAATAATGAATAGAACATGAGGGATGAAAAAGAATGGGGAAAAGGCTTTGTAGAAAACTGACTGATATAGCAAAAGCATATACTCCAGATGAAGCCAATCAAGGAGCTAACACAGGCCAGTACAAGTAACGAGCTGGCCACTCGACTTCAAAACCTTTTCATTCAAACTAGTGTACATTTCAGCGTATACAAGCCTTCTTCAGGACATTTGGCTGGATAGAGATCTTATATAATACAGCAACACGAGAGGACAGAGACTGTGTCCATCTCATCCTGTTACTTTTTACCGCATTGAGGTCACTCCTGAAAACTAACTATTGGGAAAACTACCCTTAATTTGGCTTTTAAATCGCTTTATTTTCACAGGCCTGGTAACGATGTGCCTCCCTCTGAAATCCCAAGGCTCGACGTCGGATGCACATCACTTTTAAGGAACGCGAGACTTACTCCTCGGCCTCATTGGTGATCCCCAGCCACTCATTGATCCTCCTCTGTCTGGTGCCTTTCTGCGTCAGCCACCTGCAAGACAGGGAATGTCCTCATCAGCCATGCTGCACTGCACTAACAATGCTGAAAAAGACACCTCTGCATGATCAAGCTAAACTCGGCAAAACTACACACACAATGGGTCAAAGCAAATGCATTTGCGTAGTTTGGCAAATCATTTGCGTACACATCCACAGAAAAGTGAATCCATGCTGGAGGCGGGTCCCTGACGATATGAGGGATGAACGCTTACACCAGGTACTGGTCGCGAATCTTCCTCAGCTGCATCAGGTCCGGCTTCAGGCTGTTCATCCGCTTGTCAATCTCCCGGTTGTCCGTGGCCTGCTTCTTCAGGTCCTGCTCCAGCTTCCTCTTGCTGTCGTGGATTTCGGTCACCCGGGACTTCAGCTTCTCTGAGTTGCTCTGGATCCTAAGAGGTATAACACAAAGGCAAGGTGAATAGGCCCGGCGGGGGGGGACCAGAGATGTTTGGTCTCCCCCACCCAATGAAAAGGAAGGGATTTCACAAGAAAGCACCAGGTGCCAACCAGATCGCAAGCTCTCATTCTTCCCAGATGGGGGGAGATGGGGTCACGTCACTAGCACACAGGTCACCAACTGGGATTCTTCCAAGACCCAGTATCCAGGGTAGGGCTGGGATCAGTCAGCTCTCTGAGCAGCAGTGCCTCCTGTGGCCATGCCTGGCACCCGTGGGGTAGCAGCGCTGTCACAGATAAGACCATTAGCCTATCCACACTACCCCTCCTGCTCGGTGCCAGGGGAGTCTGTCCAACAATGAATGGGGCTGGCATGTCAGAAGTGGGTGCTTGCTAAAAACTGCAGATTATTCGCCGTTTCTTCCGAACTCGGGTGGGAGAAACCCGCCCGGCGTACGTACCTCTGGATCTCTTTGTCATTGCCCTCCCGGCGGAACTTCTCGATGTACTCCTTGCTGTAGCGCTCCTGCGTCTCGCACTGCTCCTCGAAGATCTTGATGGTCTCGTTGAAGGCCTCGATGGCCGTCCTCTTCATCTGCAGCTCCTGGACCAAAGGATTCAAGTTAGGACAGCTCCACGACAGCCGATATGGCCTCCTGTCCACAGCAATGAAGTCTCAAGACGGCTGCCCGAAACCTGTCTTTCAGTGTTAACACCAAACAAGGACATCTGAAATAACTTGGCTTGCAGCTGCCTGAGACCTCGATATCCTGTGAAGCTTGCTGCCACATCAGTCACACCTGAAGTAATGCTCAGGTTTTCTACCGTTTCGGATTATTTACTCTACATTAAAAGCACTACAAAAGCTCATTAAAGTGGTCTACTCAATTCTCGCAACCGGGCAAGTGCTTTTGGTTATAGAAGCTGCAGCATAGCGGTTAAAATCTAAGGAATGAAAGGAATGAGGGCCTCTCCCATGTCTGGAGAGGCGGAGAGAGACTCGTGAGCTCTACGAGAAAGCAGTACCTGGGACGTGCGGGTGTACTCCTCGTACAGGACATCGTACTCGCGGCTCTTCTCCTGGTACTGCTCATGGTAGACCCGCAGCTGCTCTCCTACCGCCTCGATGCTGTCCTCCTTCACCACCTGCTCCTGTGGAGGGACAAGGCACCGTCTGACACCACGCACGCTGACCCCGGTGCCCGGCTATCGACGCCCCCCCCCTCCCCTTCCGGGATTCGAGGAGGAACAGGATTCAGTTCTTCGGATCAATGAGACACGAGCAACCAAACCAACAGGAGAGCACGACCTCCCTTGGATTGCGACTCATCCTGTACTCTTGAATCGAACGGAAAGGCAAATGAACGGGAGACATCTCGGTACTGAATAACACACCAGGCTGGTTTCTCATCCCTTCTGAACATAAAAAAGCCTAGGTAAAAACAAAAAAGATTTTACAGGATCGGCCAATAAATGCCAGTACAATCCTCGTAAGTGCTCTCCAGCTGTTCAATCTTCAGGTTTCTCAGCTTAAACAACAAATTCAAATCAAATTGTACCAAATCAATTGGAATCGTTACCAACAGAAGGTCTTTCTCAGAAGACTTTCTGTTTTGCTCTGGGACTGACGGCACCACAGTGCAATGATGTTGGTCATTAAGAAGCAGTGACCTCTGGTCCTCCTACCTGCTGGTATTTGGAGACGGGGTACAGCAGCCGGGTATCCAGCTTGGCGTTGTACTGCGCCAGGGACTCGTGGCGGTAATGACTGATGAGCTCCACCACGGAGAGGAACGTCAGGGGCTCCGAAAAGCCATACATCCCACCACGATGGAAGATCTTGATCAGCTTGTTGTTCCCTCCTTTCCTGCACACATGGGACAGGGTCATGAAAGAGAGTTAGCCCACGCTGTCGGAACTGCCGATAATGCCGCATCGGACTCCATTCCCCGATTTCCCAAAAGCACGAGTCAAAGCCTGGCTGCGGAGATCCAGAACGGAACCAGATGCCTGCAGAGAACCGGAGAGATTTTCATTTTCCCCTTCCGCTCCTAAAGCTACGGAATTCGTCTCCGTGAGGTCCGATTCGGATATAGAGGAACAGGTACGCGCTTTGCATCAAGGAGGGGGGAAAAAACAGGATGATGGCCATTCCTGATTACGGAGCGAAGCGTTTCCCGAATTAACGGTTGCAGCCGCGGTAATCGGACGAACCTGAGGGTGAGTGTGTACTCTCCTTGAACTTTGCTGGAGGCGTCTCGGACCAGGAACGTGCCGTCAGGGGTATCTCTCATCTTTTCATTCACCTCCTCTCTGGAACACAAGACGCCGGCTGTTACGTAAAACACGTAATATCGACAAAATATCCAGTTTTTCCTGGGGTCATGCAGTTATGCGGGCAGCGCGGTGGCTCTGTGGCTCAGGATCTGTGCCTGTGGCTGGAAGGTTGCCGGTTCGAAACCCGCAGCCGGCTGAGGAATCCTACTCCGTAGGGCCTCTGAGCAACCTGAGCCCTTAACCCCAACTGCTCCAGGGGCACTATATAAATGGCTGACCCTGCACTCTGACCCCAAGCATCTCTCCCCGTCTGTGTGTCTCATGGAGAGCAAGCTGGGGTCTGCGAAATGACAAATTCAGAATGCAAGAAATTGTACATGGCCAATAAAGTGATCTAATCTTAAAACTTATTTTTTTTGCTTTAAGATCAAAGACACACATGAGAAGATGAAAGGTCCTGATTTTCATCCAACCCACTCCACACAGCGCAAATCTGACTCAGATTATTTTTACTACCCAATAATATTGAATTTAGGTTATTGAATTTTATGCTCTTTTGCCTCTTCCTTCAGTATTCTCTAGCAGTGCACCTCATTGACAAGCTGGGAAAGAATGTCAGTTTGCAGACTTTATACTCATTCACATTTATGGTACCTGATGTTTTGCGATGACTGGCAACTTGAGTTTTAAGAATTCTTGTGTTTTGTTAGTTTTCTTTTTTTGCCATACAAGTAAGAGAAAATCTGACTCTGCCGAGCATGTGGCCTTGTACTGAAAGGTTGTGAATATGGATCCTGACTTCATGGCAATCGAGAGATTTCATACAGGCTTCCTACCTGGAAATATCCCCCCAGTACCATTCTGCATCGGCCAGTAGGCTGCTGTTCCCATTGGCCACCAAGTTGGTCAAGGCCTTGGTCTTCGGAGGCTTCGGAGGCAGAGCTGTTACAAACACAATCAACGGGTCAACCAACCACCTGATCACTGAAGTTTGCATCCACACTACAACTGCAAGCACTCGTCTTCCCTAGAGACAGTCTCTGAGGCTCACAGAGCAGCACCTTCCTAAAAAAAATCCATCTAAAAAATTGGGACAATACAGCTTTAAGCTCTAGTAGATGAATGTAAAAGAATGAAAACGATGCAGCGACTTCAGTTTACAGTGGCTGTAAAAAAACAAAATGTTAATTTTTCTTGGGATTAAAACAAGCTAAAAAAATGACAACCATTTTAACATGGTTTTAAAAATAACATTTGTTACATAAATAAGCAATGTATCTAAAAAAATATGAACGTAGCAATGCAGGCCTGCTATCCAGCTGACTGTAATATCTAGAATGGATGCATACAGGACGATGTCTTCAATTCATCCCAATTCCATCAAAGTGTTCGCTGGAGCCACTGGGAAGAAGATCAAAGCACTAAGATGGAGCTGTGAAACCCCAAGTAATGCATATAAAAATACACTGAACAGACACGCACTGTGGCTCCGCCTGAGTATAATTGGATTAGCAAATCAAACTATTTTTAAAACTTCCCAAATAACGTCCACTTGCTTAAGTCTGTTCTTGCACTACTCTCTTTATATTTCTCTCAACCTGGGATATATATTTTTTTGTTCTTCAATACGCTTCAGAAAGATGCGGCGACGCAGGTGCCAGCAGCGAACCGGGCCAGAGGGAGCAGGGAGGGGACTTGTGCCGACTGCCCCTGCAGAGCCCCAGATCCCTCCCTCCCCTGCTGGCCCACGAGTATCAGTGTGTGTGGGGGGGGGGGTCTCTACCTGGTGGAGGCCTCTCCTGTTCCCAGCTGCGCTCCAGAAGCAGCCTCTCCAGCACCAGCACAGGGAAGTCCGAACTGCCTTCGAAACTGGGGAGCGAGCGAAGACGGGAAAGGGACAGTGTTAGTGCAAGACGTGAGCCCCAGGCACTTTAGTGGAGTGCAACCTTAGATTGACTTCAACACCAGACTGGACAACTCGGTTATCAGTCTGAACACGGAAGATCAGACACTAGAGCAGAGCGTGCCAGGCTTCTCAACGCATAAGGTTCCTTTCAGAGGTCTGGCTCATGTTTCAAGGTTATATACTACAAATCCGAAGAATGCACTCTCAATTACACGAACAAGCAAATTGACTCGCGGCTTGAAAATTAGCTGGGCAATTCAGAGTGTGCTATTTTAAGATTTTGTAGGAGTCCTGATCTGCATCTTTGTTTTCCTCGTGAGGTTTTAATAAGTATGTGCTCTGCGTGCACAGATTAAACCCTTTGCGTTCCGGAAATCTTAAAAGAAAACTTAAATTTGAACTAGCGCACAAACAGCAGGGTTGAGAGGGTTGCAACAGAAGATGCAAAGGGGCAGACAACAGACCAATAAAATAAAAGCCTTTCTAAAGAAGAATCTGAAAAGGCTCAGGGAAGGGGACTCTCTGATATCCTTGTGGAGTCAAACAAACGAAGGCTGCAAGATGGGGAGTAGGAAGACAATAAGTCACACAGGTACTGATGTTCCAAGCCATATAGAGCAGGATGCCAGTGCAAAGACACCAGGACAGGAGTAATGTGATCACCTGCACGTGACCAGGAGTCTGCCTGCCGAATTCTGGACATACTGCAGTTTAAGAGTGGAATTTAGATACCCCACGTTGCAAGTAGGGTGCTGCAGTAATTAATTCTAGGGAAGGCAAATGTGTTGACCAGCTTTTGAGCTACAGTTGGAGAGAACAACATAGGACTTCTAGCCTAGCGATATTTCAGAGATGGTAGAATGATATTTGCCATATGGTTCAAACGTCAAGCCTGGATCATATATCACCCCCAAGGTCTTTAATTTAGATTGAAATTTAAGTACAGAGCCATCTACAGATAGGGTTACTGCACTGACTCTTGCGCAGTTCAGCTGGTACGCACCCCATGCTGGGAACCCGAAGAACCAATGGCCCAAAGATCTGGCTGAGCAGGTGGATGTCCAGGCCGTTCCTCTCCGAATTCTGGCACACGTTGCACAGGTGTCTCAGCAGGTACTGCAAGGTGAGGAGGTTCTGCAGAGGAACAGCAGGCTGCTCCAGAACCAGCATCAGCTGCTTGCAGCTTCCGGCTGTGGCGGCTTCTGGGAAAGAGACACGAACGTGCGTCTCTGAACGTGCTTCTGATCCAGAGGCGTGACTCCACTAGAACTGAACCCACACTTGAAACTTTCATTCACAAAGATTTTGAAGAACTCGCCCCGAGGTCCTTCAAGAAAAGGCTCGGAGGATTGATCCAACAACCGGTTCGATAAATGGATCAATAACCTTCAGGAAAACAGATCAGAAGGAAATGCCTAGCCTTCTCCTCCTTGAAACATTTTTTTAAATTTCCCAGATTTTACAGATTAAGGCTATTATATCTCTGCCACGGTCTGATTTATCACAAGGACACTAATGCCTTTGTTCACATGCGTGATACTGACAGATCCTTTCAAAAAAAACATTTTCTGAGACACCCCTCTTACAATTTCTAGGCGAGTAGAAGTTACCATCCAAGATCACAGATCTACCACACAATGTGCAAGAATATTTTACCCTTGAATCAGGCAAGGGATAGCACCAAAAACTACACTGCCAAGGATCTCCAGAAAAATCACAATATTTCCAAATCTGGTCCTGCAGAGGCCCAGTGCAGCTCGTGCTGCAGGTCATCCCAGATCCCCTTATTTTTTTAGATTAAGTAAATTACTGTAAGTAAGTTACTGATCAATTAAGCATCTAATTGCTCAACTTTGATTCTTCAGAGAGCCTTTATTTTTCCTGATTTAAATAACTAAGGTACCTTTATACACAAATCACTGTTTTAAACACAGATAATTTGCGTTGCGTCTTTAGAGATGATTTAAAGGTGATCTATAAATGCTGCTGGCTGGGAGCTCTGCAGGACCAAGGCTGCAGAGCCATGATGTTATAGAAAGGACCCGATTCATCTGTGTCAGTCTGTTCCACGATCACCGTTTTGCTGCCTACCGGTGCCCTGCTGCGTGGCCGCCTGGAGCTCAGAGCAAACTGCTGGGGGGATGACGGGAGTGGGCAGGTCCTGCAGGTATCTCTTCACAGCCTCGGTGAGCACCTGGAGGTCACACTGTCCCATCTCCCCTGCGGGCAGCTCTGCTTCGGGAAATGAATCACAGGTGAGCACTCCTGCCCCTGTCTGTCACCTGTCCTTCAGGTTCTCCTCAAGAGACACCGGGGGTTGTAAAACAGACTTTTATGGGGAAATTAGGAACAATCCCCTTGCACAACAGTCTAATCCATTTTATAGTCAATGAGCATTTACATGTTATTACATGCATGACACAAAAAGTAAAATGACTTTAACTCAGCATGTCGCTCGTTTTGCTCGAAATAATCTTAAAATACTCCATAGCTTATATAAAAAATATCTAAAAAAACATGAACAGTCTGCTTTACTGCCAGGTCAATTCACAAATAGATTAAAAGCTCACTGCAGCTTTAAACTTGTGATGTTTATGGCAACTTCATTACGATTGTTATTCATTATTATTGTTGTTAATTTACATCTTTCAGAAACAGACGGCATGTGATCTATGTGTGTGCTATTATTCAAGTACCATAATGTTCAACACAGCATCTCACAAAACAAAATAACCAAAAAAGACCTGAAGGAAAAGTACAGGTAGCTTCGACAAGTTCAATGTTCTAAGGAATGGGAGTGAAATACTATACAGTATAAAGAATGAGGTCAAATGACACAGGAGAAACACCCCTGGTATCTTTCAAAGCAAACAGAGGATTTATGCCTTCTTATGTAAATGCACTGGTGAATTGGTATGCTGAAAGCCAACAGGAGCCAGATGAGATTGCCAGCCTCTGTTTAATACTGTACTCCAGCTTTGAAACTGCTGAAATGAAATATACTTTACAAAAGTGTGTCTGGACATGTTCAAGGCCACAGCAGAAGCAGTCACCTGATATCAGTGGTTCCTGCAAGCTGCAACCTGCCCCCACTTTCTGCATGCCCTCACCAGCCCTGGCTGGGCACTCCGGCTTCTGGATATCGGTGTGTGCTGATAAGGACCCAACTCAAATGCCCTCCTGCCTACACACTGAAGGCTTTCCGATTACTGCCTCGGTTTTCAGCTGCAGACGGGCACTTGCAAACACAAAACACTTTGCCCCTTTTTGAATATGCGGGAGTAGGCCCACTGGGGAAATTTCATTCTGCACGTATACATGCACCTCAGACACTGAAGAGCATCATATGGCAGTGTGTACATGTGTTACCCTACTGCTTGTTCTGTCGGGTGCACTGAAGCAAACTTAAGAGTGGTTTTTGCAAAACACCTCAATATGACGTGATGAAGGCGGCATGGTGGCACATGGGACCCTGGGTTCCCTTCTGGACCTGGGGTACTATCTGTGTGGAGTTTGTATGTTCTCTCTACATTTATGTGGGCTTTATCCAGATGCTCCAGTTTTCTCTCCACAGTCCAAAGACATGCTGGTAGGCTCACTGGCTTCTGGCAGAATTGGCCCAGGTGCGAGTGTGTGTGCGCATCCGTGTGCCCTGCGATGCCCTGCCTTGTGCCCACTGCTTGCCAGGGGAGGCTGCGGCTCCTCCAAACCCCGAATTGGAAGAAGCCATTGGGAAATGGATGGATGGTGTAGCTGGGCAGTGGTAACCGGAGTTGCCGCGGAAGGGTTAATTTGGGAAAACGCAGCCCTAGAGAAGCCTGGAACTTTCCAGCACTGCTGTGCAGCGATCGGGAGGACGGGGCTCTTACCGAAATTCAGAGTCTGTCTCTGATCAACGGCAGCGGAGAAGCCAGGCGTCCTGTACAGTGTCTCGCAGTCTAGACCTGAAGGGAGTCAAGATGTTAGCTCATCGTCTAAAACAGTCTCTCCCTGGTCTTCTATCAGAAGGTCGGTCACAGATATAAACACTGAGAGCACAGCGGAGGATATAAATACATGTGGAGGCGCGACTCCCGAGACCCGAGGAGCTCTGGAAAGGAACCCGGCTGGACGGTGTCACCGGATCCCCAGGGTCCCTTCGGAAACATTACGTCTAGAGGCCGCAGGCCAGACGGGTTTATATTTTGAACGTCTGGCATTTAATACAAGAACTGTGAGAAGCTGTTACGCCCCATTTTAAACCGGGTTTCTGAAGCGGGGAGTTGAGGGGAAAACATGGAAGGAAAAAAAAAATTAAGACGGCTGAATGCAAGCTTTCAGCTCTTCCAGTCCTGTTGAATTAATTTGACGGCCTACAGAACTGCAGAACAGGTAGAGCCTGATCAGTATTCAGGTAACCTTTGCCACATCCTGCTTTAACAGATGAGCTACTCAGATATGACATTTGTGTAACAGAATTGTTTTAAAATGGAACTTTTTCCTGGGCTGAACAGTACTGAGTCTGCTTCTGGAACAGAGGGTCACTGGTTCAAGTCCTGGCTGGGGAGGGCCAATAACCATCGGAATTAATTCTTTACACTGCCTTGGAATTGGAGCTCTAACTTGCCCCCCGAGGAGCTACTTTTAAAATAATTGAGCTCCTGCCCTCATTAGCTTTTTTTGGATGTCTGACACAACCAAGGGGCATCATTATGCTAATAGGAGAGACTGCTATTGAAAGACAAAGCTGGTTCCCAAGGTTCCAGCAGAGACATTCTATCAAGCTTTTGGGGCAGAAGAAAAATTAAATTTTCCACCCAGAACGTATGCTCCCATAATCCACACTAACAGTTAACACTCAGCTGAAGCTGACCTACAGAAAGGCTTTATAACGGACTGCAATCGCCAACGTCAAACGGAAAGGACTTGACCTCTCCCTTAGTGACTTCTGGCGACAAATGCAATAAAACCCACCCGAAATAAAAACATATATAAAAGCCACAATTCAGCTAAAAAGCACAAGGTTCAATCGAGTGAAAATAAATGAAAGGGTTTGAACTGGTCACGCTGGCCCAGATACAGCCCGTGTTAGTGTTTTGCTGAGTCACAAGGTTCTTGAAAGCTGGATGTCGAGTTAAAAGCCACCGAGACGCACGCAGAGGCGTCCGGTCTAATCTCTCCGCGAGAGCTAATTTCATACCAGGGGTTTGCGGACACAGGGCTGCACTCCTGCCTGTGTTATTACTTTCCGAAATCCCAGAGATGGGACTCCATGGGAAACCATGCTGCAATGAGAAACTCCGCAAAAGATGTCATTAGCCTCCCATTGGGCATCATCCAGAGCCGTTCTGACACCGTTCATTTGCTTTGATCGCGAAGGATCTGGACTGACGTGCTCGGAGCGCTCTCTCGGTCGCGGAGGCGACGAGGTGCAAGTGTGCCAGCGGAGCAGCACAGCTGCAGGCGTTCCGAAAGTTCGGACACTGCCGATGATTAATAAGACTGCGGGGCAGCACATGCATTATAAGAAGCTAATGGCTCGGCAATATTCCAATTTAGAACGGAGGTTCCTAGGGACCAAAAGGAAATGGGAAGACGACAATTCCATATTCTCTGCAGGATATGTGCTTATACAGTATGTGTGAATAACATGTATTTGGAGGAAATAAAGTTAGGTTTAAGTGCCTCTTTGTTCCCATTGTTTTGCTGTAAAATAAAAAATGAATGATATGAACTATAATAATTTTTAATGCTGCACTAATGAATAACATGGGAGAATAAGGTAATCCAGGGCAATTCTCACTTCCCAGATTTCTCCAGCTCTATGTGCTCCATCATGACTTTCCTCTTTAAGGCTGTTTCTTCCCATATCAATATAGCCAGCGGGTGTGAACCTCCGTATCTTTAGCCGAGAAAAGCAGGCTTCCTTGCCGAGTCACAAGACTGATGTTTCTTTACCAAAGACTAATCCATTTTCCAGCAGCTCATAGTGCCTCCTACTTACACAACACTGAACGTATTCTTTGGCAGGCACCTGCGTTCAATTGATTGTCGCAGTCCAAACACCACTTTTATTGGAATAACAACTGTTTGTGAAACAAAAATAAACACAGAGGAAGATAACCGATTCCATTGAAAGGAACATAAAAAGAAAGAAGTGATAACGATCAGAAAATGCTCTAAGGAAGCTGGCAGAATCAAAATGTGCATTTCACCATGTGATAAGAACAGCACTGTGAACCTCTCACCTTCCTAACCCCCAACACCTGTTCTCCCTGCTTTTAGATTGGCTTTGCTGGATTTTGGTTTGGTGCTCTCAAGACACTGACACAAGGATGGTGCCAACGGACAAAAAAAACACACATGCACATGCGCACACGCAATCTACAGCCCAGAGGCCCTAGACCTGTCTGTGATCCACCACGAGAGACAAACCCGAAATGCACCTGGCCCACTCTGATCTTCGTTCTCTGCCTCATTCCCGTTGGATAACTAGGAGAGCTTTTACCCTCACACCGGGGATAAAAAGACAAGACAACTGAATCTGACAGCTACAAATGGGCACGTGCCCCTTTCTTTCCCCTGCCTTGGTTGCTCTGTTGACCCAGGACGCGCCCATGCTGCCCCTGCCTCAAAAGCACACTAAGGCTTCAATCTTCCCAACCAAAGCTTCACAAAACCTTCCTGTACTGCTGTCAAGACGGAGTGGCATAGTATCAGGGCGATAGACTCCTCCAGGCTGGTGGGGAGACACCTGGTGTATCTTTGAACACAGTGTTTAAGCCAGGCTGCTCCTGCAAAACCTGGTTAGATAACCTGGTACCAAGGCCTGTGTGTTAAAAGCAACTGAGAGCCTCGATGCCTCGTTAAGATGCCCGATAGAGTACGAATAAAGTTGAGAAATGTCATCTTGATATCCTGCGATAGTGCTGTGGGACATTTTTACCTTTCTTCTCTATGGCTTCTACCAACTTGACCAGGACAGGGGGGGCACTTTCAGGGGGTGAGAACTGCTCAGTCAAGTCCAGGACAGAGAGAGCTGAAAAAGAAAAAGAAAACAAATGTGAACTCCTGACATCTCACCGAGAGTTCAGAAGGGTGTAGGCCGACATTTTTCCCAGCAAATGAGATGTTACAAAGCCTTTTCCTATTTTCATTCTTCCTTAAAGCATATTTGCTATTCAACATCTGCAAGTACACAAACAAATGCTCTACGTCATACAAACAACTTTCACCCGCATGTTTTAAGATAACACAAATGAGCTGACAAGCTACACATCTATTTCTATAATGTAATGGAACAAAAATCACAAATACAAAATCGTCACTGTAATGCTCATCTTCAAAACTGATTTAATTGGTTTCAATGGTCTAGTAAACTCAGCTGTGTAACAGGAGAACATTATGGTTCCGAACGAAAAGAAGCCATTCAGCATCTGGGCTGAATAAACTTGAATGAAAAACTGCTTCATTCTGGATTAGCCTGGGACTAATACAGTGCCTCAGTTAAACACAGCTATTTAAAGAACTAAGAAAGCAGGGAGGTGGGGTGATAATTTAACAGTACTATTGCACAGCACTTTGAGTCATCCCAGCTGTTATTCTTTAATTACCAACTTAATTAGATGTGCCTTTTTTGCACACAACCACTTATAATTAAGGCCAAAGGAATAAAAAAAAAGCGCTCAGTCTACTTTGCTACCCAAAAAAGCCAAAACAACCAAATGTATACAAGACGTAAAAGATGGACTTTGTTATTATCCGTTTCGGATTTCGAAAGACTTTCTTCTTTCTAATCGACTTCAGAAGACACTAGTGTCCTTGAAAGTAGGTCTTTCTAGTATTTTATTTCCCGGGTTGTTTTTTTTAAAAAAAAAACTGTAAAGTGGGAACACATGCATGGACACATCACAACGGTGAGCTCTGAAGAGGGGAAAGCCTTCTCCTTTAAGAAGCCAGCTGCAATTCAAGTGGCCTTTAAATAATTACACTCTGACTGAAACAGGCCTGCTTCCTACTATTTTTGGGCCTGTTCACTGAGGCCTTTGCGTGAGGAGGCTGAGAAAGCTTCGACAGGGCACAATAAAGGATTTCAATAAAACTCCAAACAGGCAAAACCCCAGTGGCTCTGAGCCAGAGCCTCTTTTTCAGTCAAAACCACAAAGCACAGAGCTTGGCAGCGCAAGGCTCCTGGCAGAGCAAAGCTAAACCACGTCTGATTATTAATTTTGGAGTTCAGACAAAGTGCCATGTCAGCACATTCCTGCGCTCCGCTGCACGTTAAACATGGAAACTTCTCTCCTCTCCGCTCACCGGGGGCTCGCTGCTAATGCCCCGAGTGCCGATTCCTCCGCAGAAAAAAAAAGGATTTCTTTCCTTTCTTCTTGCATTCTAACCTTCTACCACTTCCCCAAGTCAAGATTATTCCTCACAACAAAATTAACAGGGTCAACAGATAGGGCTGATATTAGCACAATAGAAGACAACGGAAAATAACACCCTCTTGCCCCAGTCCTGCATTCTACACCCCTCAAAGAGTGGAGGGGCAAAAGTGACAAGAAGCCAAAGACAGCCACCACCTTCAGAGACAACACAACTCTTCACTGGCAGCTGCTGAGGAACTGTCATGGCCGACCACTTCTGTAACCATGGCTACCCCTGCCCCTTTGTCAGCTGGACCTGTAGAGCAGAGACTGGGACAGAAACCCTGTTTGCTGCCCTGAGAAGAGTTATGAAAACTTTTTTCTTTTTTAAAGATGACTGCATGCAGACAAGGTTGCTGATAACCTGCTACTGCAAGAAAAAGTAGCAGGTCTTTAACAAAAAAGGGTTGTGGGTGACTGGAACAAACTACACAGCCTCGTCAAAAAAAATTACATCCTGGCTTCTTTAAGGAAATGAGATTCTTAGCTGAATTAGCTATTAGCAGTCAAACACAATAGATGGGTGTGTTCTTAGCTGTACAAATTAAGAAAGTTTAAGGAAATAATTGCTGATTAACTGTTCTTTGGTGCTAAAAATCCCTTGTCAGTCTTCCAGCTTTGTATTAAATTGAACACCTGGATCCATTTACTATGGACAGTAAACGTCAGGTTTTAGTTAATATGTGCAGTACTTAACATCACGAAAGATGGAAGGTTAATTTTCAGGATGATCCAAAAGAGGACAAAGAGCCCAACTGAATCAAGGTCATATTGCAAAAGCACTTTCAAATGTAATAAATAAATGTGTCTGCAAAGGAGTTAGGGCTTTGAATTAAATGACCATCTTTGGATCTTACAAGGTGCTTCTGCAGTTTTGGAATGTGTAGCGTGTGCCAGGTAAGCATTTATAAAACAATGAATGAATACCGCACCACTTTTTGTGCTCTGCCTGGAGAGCAAAAGGAGAAAGTTCTAAGAAAGGTATTCCCCAGAAGGAGTCACTTTGAAGCTACAGCTCCAAAAACAAACAAAAAAACTTCTTTACGACATAAAATATCGGCAGCAGGAGAACAGCAATATTAGCGGTCGGAAGAATCAAAGGTATGCCAAACCCTTCTTCTCAGGGTATGGACAATACTTGTAACGGGTCACTACGTACGTACAGTGTAAGGAGAGCAATGCATTTCCAGCTCAACTGAAACAGATCCTCTATGCACGCAATCTCGCCAGTGATCAATCTAATGACTGCTCCACCATGCAGGCATGCAGGTCAGAAAGGGGCTCTGCTTCATTGAAAGAACACAAGCTATCAGAATCTAAGAAAACTCTGACATAGCAGATCAAAACGTGTAAAATGTAAGCAAAACGCACTCCTGGATTCCAGGTTACTTAAAACCAGAGACACCTCTCGGGGTTTTGAACGTAATGTTCATGACATCTTATCATTGCCAACCACTGTAAGCTCTGGAAAATTGTCAAGAGAGGGTGTAGTCGATTTTATTTACGGATTTAAGCCCCGCAACTGCATCCTTCTGGAATTCTGATTGTGGTCACTGTGATTAAAAGGGTGTAAAAATGAGTGGGCAAAGGGATTTTTAGTTCAACTGGGAAAAGGTGAGAAACTAGGCTTTAAAATTTAAAACTGAGGCGAGATCAGAGAGATGACCAAAATGACTTCTGGGAACTTTTTAATCTTGATTTAGACTTCACACAAGATGAGCTATGAAAGCAACAAATTCCACTCACGTTCTGCAGTTAAATTATTTTTTTCTGGTCAAAGCTCAATAAACAGCTCTGGAGGTGTTCTAATAAATTTGCACACTACGACACGTTAAAAGCTGGCCGAGGAAGAGCTAGAACTCCAGTCTCAATTAAATGTACTTCAAACTAGGTAAATTGACTTGACAACTCCCAACAGGTAACTAATTAATGACCTGCGGACTTAGGTGAGACTGTTTCCTGGCAGTGTGACAAGTTCTTGGCACAATGTCCTGTTGTCTGTGCTTGATTTATAGTCAGTCTTGCACAGCCAGCAGCTCGGCTGCTGAAATCTTCCAGATGTGTGAGTGACAAGACTCAAAATGTTACACGGAAAGTAGGGAAAGAAATGCAACCATGCTCCAGGCAGGAGTGAGTGTTACTCAAGACTCTGAAGCCTACTGGTGTAGCACTGATGTACTTCCCCTGATCCCTTACTTTTCCGGTTTGTCTAAGAAGGGCAGATAACCTGAGCACCAAGGGAAAGTTCACCACATTTGCAGCATCATTTTGTTTTCCAAATAATAAGAGGAGCTGCATTTCCAAAAGACTTCAATGTAGTCACTCCCACCCCCCATTTAAAAAAAGTAAACTTGATGGAATGCATTTCATGCCACATGTCTGAAAAGCTTTTTTTCCTGCAACACCATTTGAGCAAAGATCATTACTGCTAGTACCGCCTATTGTGTTGGTTTCCGGTAAAGGTCATGCTTGTATGTTGGTAAACAGATCTGCACACTCGGCTACCTGATAAAACTGTTAAAAAGCGTTATTCTTATAAATGCCAAATATGCACAAAAACCCAACATTCATCCAGTACTTTGCACTCGGATGCCTGACAATCAAAGGACAGGTTCTTACACTTATTTCATACCACACTCACATTCTGAAAGTACCCACAACTCGTATATCTTTAACCATGGGCAAAGGACCAAAAGGATCCTAGATGCCAGGTGTTGGAGAAACAAGGGCCAACAAATAAATCTACAACAACACCATCCAACTGTATTACCAAACTGGCATGATTAAAGGACAGGAGATGACCGTAATGGGATGGGGGAGAGAGTGCCGTCATTTACAGACTGGCTGCAGAAATCCCATCGCAACACAACGATCAGGCAGGAGAGATACCTGCTACCCCTTTAACTTCCCACCATGAACTTCGCTCACTCTTCGGGCAACGCAGCTCCTACAGCCAGATTCCGTGCAAAAGTATAAGGATCTTTGGAAATGCAGCTGTAGCCCTGAAGTCATCCTTGGTTTCTGGAGAGCAAACCAACTAATCATTACCCAATTATAGTTGCCTAAGCAGTCTGCGTCTTGGCGTGACTAAGAGTCGCGACTGAACATGCCTCGGGAAAGAGCAAACGAAAGCATAAAAAAAACAAGTTTTGTAGCCATGGAAACCCGTATTTACGCCTGCTACTTTTTCTGGTCTCTTTCACATGCCATCACCAACTCATGTATCATGTGCTTCTTATAGTAGCCTTGGTTGGTCTCTTAAAATCTTCTTTTTCTTCCAGTCCCTCAGAGCATCTGATCTTTTTCGCCAACATGTCTAGGCTGCAAAGGACCAGGTGAAATTCTTCTCTTTTTAGCAGGCAAAGATTCTGGTCAATTACCGGACTTCACCCGGTTCACTTCAGCCATCTTGGAAGCTACGTCTCGAGAGTGTGGTCCACCCACCTCCTTCACAGACCACGGATTGGCACAGCACCACATAGGAACAAATATGCTAGTGAATTAGATGAAAACTCTGAAATGTAAGAATATGATGAATATTTCAAGTGAGCAGAGATGGAGCTCGCTTGGCTACTAGTATCTAAGAGATATGAGGATCTCATCCAGGCATTCCCTG